CGATGACTCCGTAGATAAAAATGCCACATCATTTATGAACAAAACCGAAACTTACAAAAAACCATATATAAAAACCTATCTAATGAAACTTAAACAACGAATATTAACTTAATTAAGGTTATTTTCATATTGATAAATCGTTTAATACAAATATAAATACTATAAATATAGAATTATATCAAGTTTTGACATACGATATGAAAACATGAAGGCTCTAACTGGTGACCATTAAAATAGGAATAGGAATGAGTAGGAAAATAATAAGTAGGAATAAAATAAAAGGAATGAAAAGGAATATTTATTACTTTGGTTCCATATCAATTTTGACAAGGAATGTTTTTGTTCTATAATTCTTTAAAATTCAAGGAATGACAAGGAATCATACGCATGAAATATTCCTTATGAATGGTGTATTTTTTAAGGAATAAGTAGGAATTGATTATTCCCCTTCGTTCCCTATGTTACCATTTAGACCCGAAATTTTCCATTTCATTATTAATTGGTGTCATTAGAAGAATCCACTAAACCAACAATCGAAAAAAATACACGCAAACATAATGATCCCGACCCCGCGCTTGCGCGGGGAATATGCAACTAGTTTTAGTTAAATATTAACAAGGAGAAGGCTCTTACCGTGTAAAACTCAACAAGGGTTTTTGAGTCGTATTCACTTTCTCTTCCTTCTAAGTACTGTAAAAAAAAACAATAATCAGATCTAACAGAAGAGAAACAAAAAAAAAACAATCTATGTAAAATCAATAATTGAATAATCTTTCTACCTCCATCGCTAGCTTCTCCTTCTCGGGTCCTCCACGAACACAATAAGCTGCACCCCACTGTCCAAATATAAACAATATCAACACCAGAATTACAAATCTTTTGTTTTTTTTATAAGAAATGAAAAGTATGTTTTTCTTACGCATATAGCTCCAGTGGACTGCTCCAACGTGCAAGTTCTTGCAGGATGCTCAGGCGTGCCTCTATGATCAATGCACCCTACAAAAAAGGAAAGTTTTTAAGCAACATTGATTGATTTTTTTTGTGAAAATTCAAGAAGTGGGGGATTAATGTTTTTAGGCATCATAACCCTTAATTTTAAAAAGCTATTTTATATACATTGCAAGTCTACTAATTTTCAGAAGAAAAAAAATTACAAAGTTCAATCTAAAAATATTTGGTAACAAATCTCGGAACCAACCATGGGTCTAGGAAACATACCGAGATCAAAGACGCGTTTGTAGTCTTTGATATAGCCAATGTGCTTCTCATCAAAATCAAAACCCGGGTTCCAGATTAAAGATCCATAACCGAACACCCACAAAACCATCTTTGATGTGTTGGGTCTCTTTTAGGAGGAGCAAGAAGAAGAAGAAGCTAGAAGGAGTTTAGAGAAAAAAGGAATTGTGATATTTTTTTAGGAAGGGAGAATCTGATATTAATACAGAAGAGTTGAGAGAGAGACAAGAGTTTCAGTTGTGGTAAGAGAATCCCCGAGTGTTTGGGATTGTGATTGAATATAGACGGCTTTTTGGGTTTATTCTTTGTACCGTACATCTCCGCATTTAAAGGCGATTCCTAACTCTTTGTTTCTCATTGGATACATTGAATGTAGACACCTTTTTGGTTATTCTTAACAAATACAGACGCAATTGGCACTGGTCCAGCTTAGCCTGCCCTAGGCTAGCCCAAGCCCACCTTATTGTTCTTTCTTTTTTTTAGCAAAAAGTCAAATTTTGGTTGAACCTATCTCCTTTTTTCTGTTTAGTAAAGTGTATTACTTGGTTTATTGTTCTTGGTATACGATTAGGTCTAAAAATGTGTATAAATATGTAGCTTATTGGCTTGTTGATTGAATAACTAAAGTCTTCGGATGTTTGGATTCCTCCATAATCATGTTATCTAAGATCGATGTAGTGTTAGACACATTTAGCCAAATCAAAACAGATAGCTGCAATATAAGTTGGGTTACGAGATATCATCATAGAGAAGTGCTAAACGATATATATGCTAAACTTTAATCAGTGTTAGCTACAATAAGTAGATGTCTTTAGGTGGTTGCATACATGGCCGAGTCTGAATACAAACTAATCAAACATATGTTTGGGACTCTGATATTTATTATTCTAAGAGCCAATATTTGTACAAAAACGCAGTCATTTCTACGGGTGTTCGTCCAACTCTGAGTTAAAATGGATGAAGGTTCGATTCTTTTCCTCCAAATTTTTAGTATTTTTTTCAAAAATAATTAATTAAAGTGCCGAAATATAGACAGGAGCCAAATGCTTCAGGCAGGGCTCTAGTTGCATCTTCTATATGCAAATTGGACTTACATATATTGAATCTATCTCTGATGGCAATGATACTTTCTAGACGTTATTGGAAACTAACTTGAACTAATTAAGATGGTAATTTGGTAATATAACGATCATAGAGAAGTCTGATCTAATATCTCTATATTAGTTCTGGCCAGCGAATCATGTCAGCATAGAGAATAGCCTATAACGAGCAATTTACTTTCATCGCCTATGATGCTACAATCTCAGTTTTGTACCGGATGGCTTGCCATTTGTAAATGCTAAAAAGTTGTTTTGCGAAATCCGTAATGATTTTTTTTAATAGTAGATGGTTGACAAGCATCTGATCAGATCATAGACAAATATATCGGGTTTAAAGCTCGAATGCATTTTTTGTGCCAAATAGCTCGAATGCATATTGAAAATGAAAAAATCATTTCACTTAAAGTCCAGTCACGACCTACCGTCAACATTTTTCTACTTATAATGTTCTTTCCGAGTTCATCTTCTTAAGATTCTTTTTGATTTTCATGTTTCTATAAATTTGATGTGAAATTATATAGTTTAAATCTTGGCCAACTTTACAACTGGATCATGCATCCTTGGAATGAAGCCAAATGCTTTTAAATGGCATGTTATTTAGAGAAAAACATGGTGTTATTTAAAAAATATCTTCTCATTTAGAAGAATGACGGATATTTTTGACAGAATAATAACTAGTATGATCGTTCACCTAATTAGTTCTCACCATATTGTCATCTTTAATTTCTGCGACAGTGCAAGTATTAATGATTGCAATTGATAGGAGTGAGGAAGATGATACCGATGCTACCAAAGATCTTACTACTAAACACATGTCACTGTTTCCATTATATCTCAATTTACATGCAACGCAAAGACAAAATCCCAACCTACCCTTTTACTAGTATTTACTACTCCTTTCGACCAGTCACCAATCACACTATCTATATATTGATTCTAAATCACATCAGTTTATTTCTCACAAATAGCTAAATCTGAACTTTTAAATTATACATATATACTAAACAAGGTTCAGACCTTGAAGAGAAAATGATAATAAGTTGAAGAGGTCCCCAGTAATATTTTCATTCAATGAAGAGCCCCCATCATCTTAAATGAAGACATTATTGGCTATGATTAAAGAGTAGAAGTAAATATTTTAGTTTGTAGTGTATAACAGTAATAGATTTGACTTGGACCACATTAGAATCTTTATTATACGTACCAATGCTTCTCAATGCAAAGAAGCACATGCATTCGTCGAGTAGAGCCAACACATATGTATATATGATTAATGTTTTTGAGCTTCTACTCCACATATACGATAAATTGTACTATCATCGTAGTATCTCTTTGAAAGACAACAAAATCTAAAAGCCTTTTCTAAGAAAAAAACAACAAGATCTATTCAAAGATGTGTATTTTTTCATGTAATTCAAATTAGCTAGTTCATGATATTAATATGAGATAGCTTTACATATGGTTTACATAGTAGTAGATTCTGAAACAATACCTAGATTGATCCATGTTACATATAGAAAATTGTAGATTTCTACCCTTTAAACGTTTATTTTTGGGGAGGCTAATTAGAGAATAAGTACATGTGTGTTTGTTCATTCAGATAGTCTATTATCATAGTAGTAGATTCTGAAACCAAATTACATTTTCTCATCAAAATTACAAATTCACATTTTTTTGCAACAACCAGAAACTCACATTTTCCTATGAACTAAAACATAGAATATGAATAGCTGGATCTTTAGAGTTAACGACTTTCATGAGATCCGAGACTCAAAAAATCATCTTTTATAGGAATATAACTCTAAAATGCAATTAATATCTTCAACTGAAAATATCATCAGACCTGAGAAAAATACAAGAAAAAACCTATTTTTTCAAAAAGCATCTCTAGTAAAAAGTTTGTATAAAAATTTATATATAGCTGTATAGATGAATCTGCTCAGGCCTTCATCGATGTTAATGACCACCAATGGTGTTGACGATTATCATCAGATCTAGCCATAATAATTGAAAAGAATTGATCTTTATCAAAGAAATACAACTAGTAAAATATTTATAACCAAAATGACAAAGATACTACTATACATGAATCTTATCCGAATAACACAAGTTCTATTAAGATCATCACTAGAGGCAAATTCTAAACATCACATATTACCCAAAACATACGCAACTGTAAAAGAAAACCAAGGACTTTATTTTTAACAACAAGAACAAAAACTATGATAATTAAAATGTTAAAATAAGATGAGACAGTGATCTATTATTGCACGAGAACTATCATATACGACCATCTCGTACCCTATTTCATTTTCTTCTTTTTGTTTCACTTTGAAGTAAGTTTTTCTCCAACTATACTTCATTTCTTACTTCAAAATGAAGTAAAGAACAATGTTATTCAAAATCTTTGAAGATAAACTTTTTAATTGTATATTGGTCATTAACTTTTAGTTTTGCCAAAATAAATTATATATGTTATAATTATTCAAGTAATTTAAATTTTTTGAGTATTAATTTCATCCAATCATATGTTTATATCAACGAACATATGATATTTGTTTTAACGAAATTTTAACTCGATTAAAAAGAATCGAAAATAAATAAGCTCATATCTTACTTCTAAACGCCTTTGTTAATCACTTATAGAAAATTATATACAAATTATGATTTTTTGTGTTTGTTTATTCATATTATGTAATCAACTTATTATATAATAATGTTTAATTATGTTAAATAATAATTGTGTTAGATTATTTTAAAAATTAGTAAATATACAAAAGTAAAAGTTGTTAGACATACTCTTCACTTAATATCACAGCTCTTTTCGTGATTCAGTGTCATTCTCTTCGCTACATTTTTAAACATCAGGTCATGTCTAAACCATTCTTAGAACAACAACTATAATATATTTTGGCATGCTAATGTCATCAAATATTAGTTTCAACTCCTAACATTTTATAGTTATAAAAATATAAATATTTAGTGTCATTATCCGCCCAGTATAACAACAATATAGTTGTATATATTTATATAGATATGATGTTTAGATATAGACATCATATAAGATATTATAACGAGGAAGCACATTAATTTATCATTTAACGAACACCTACAGTCACCACCAGAGAGAGAGAGGGAGACGATAAGGTACGAAGAACTGAACTATATAAAAGAAGAGTACTGATAAGTACTCAATCATCCAATTCTTCAATTATTTTTAAAAATATAAACCCCACCCTCATTTTCTTGTTTCCTTTCAATAATTTCACAACGTCTATATACTCTAATTTATTTATCTATTTACCATATCCAACAAGCCACAAGACTGAAACAAGGAAAACTATGTATGTTGGATGCAGTTTTAGCTACCAAGAGGTTTGTACAATACCATAAACTTATTATGAAATTTATTTAGGATTTTGGTTTTGATCGATGCATATCATTTTGTCATAACCAAATGGTGGTATCCTAATGATAAGGGTTGATTTGGGGGTAAGAAGTAAATCCATTGATCATGGGTTTGATTCATGATGGGAACAAAGTTGCTACTAATTAATCAGACAAAGATGTACCACGCTTCATGCCTCACTAAAAAAAATCTGAGGCTGGACGAGTCATTGGTCATAGTTAGACCTCATCCCATATACCTCCGGTTCACAAATATAACTTTGTCATATATATAGGTTTGTTATGTCACATGAAAAGTTAGTTTTGATTCATTATTCATTAAACTAATAACACTATAATTTGAAAAAGAATTGAAATCAAGATGGATCTTGAAATGACTCACCAACTACAATTGTCTTATTCTGAGTTAAGTTAATCAAACATAGTTGTACATCAGAACCTCTATAAATTAATACTCGATAAATTAATATATATTAAATATCTCTATAAAATAATATAATTGTATAGTCCCAAATTGAGTTTTTGGTTCGATTAGTATATCGATAAATTAATATCTCTCTAAATTAATAAAAAAATAAAATTTTGGTGTAGTCCCAACATTATTAATTTATAGAGGTTTCACTGTACTTATATAACATCCTTAATAAGTAAAAAAATAACCAATAATTGGATCTGGTAATTCTAAGACAAAATAGCATATCAAATTTAAAATTGACTAGAAATACAAAAACATATAATGGATTGATACAAAGATATATTGCTAGATCTCGAGACTACTAACCAAACTCTTCTCCAACATTGAGTTCTTGCAATGAGCAATAGCCCCTTGAATAGCACTTTGCAACTCTTCCATTGAAGAAGACACACTGTTGTTGCTGCTACCTCCTCGTTGACCACGTGTCAATACACCGGAGTGACTCGGAGATGACCTCATCGACGAGGGACAGCTCGCCGCGCACCGTCCACGTCTCGTGTATTTCATTAGGTTACCTGAGAAAGAGGACTCTGTTTTAAAACCTGTTCCAGGGATGTTGCTGGAATCTTTAACAGAGGACTCTGTTTTCAAAGCTGCGACGTTGGTGCTCTGTTTCTGAGATAACTTATCGTATAAAGGTTTAACCTTTTTCATGTATTTTCGAATAACCTCTTTAGCCGTGGAGCTCATTCTCTTAACCGACGACGGAGGAGCGGCGGCGGAGACGGAGACGGCTTTGGGGTCTTTCTTGAAAACAGAGGAGAGTCTAGAGAGTGAGAAGCCACTCTTCTTTGTATGTTTAAAGAAGATATCTTCTTCTTCGGTAACAGAGCTTTGCCTTGAAGAAGAGTCGCAGCAATCGGTGGAGTCAGTGGAGGAGGAAGATTCGGTGGAGTCACGTGCTGCGGCGGAGGAAGAAGAAGTGAAGTCGGAGGAAGAAGTAGAAGTAGAGGAACAGAGTGTACGGACGAGAGAGAGACGAGGTGAAAGCTGGAGAGGAAGAAGCTGGCCTCTGTAGAAGAGTTCATCTGCTGGACAAAGCGAAGAAGAAGCTTTTCGCGGCGAGATTGAGACGTTGAATTCAAATTCCGATGATGATGACGACGGAGATGAGTGACGTGGACGTGGTTGATGTTTCATTGTGTTCTTTATCTCTTGACTCTCTCTGTTTTTGTATGTTTCTCTCTGTTTTTGTCTTTAGCTTCTATGTAATGTAATAATAGAATGCAATGTTTATTTTTGTATTTAAGAGGTTACTGCGGTGTAGTTTTGATATCATGAGAAAAGCCCACAAAGATCGCCACATTGAAGTTGTAGTCACATGCAATGCAATTAAAATAGTGTTAAGTGTTCAACAAAACAGTGTGAAATGGACCAGAGGATTAGTCTACTAGAGAGTTGTTTAATGACGTTAATTAATTAGAATAATCAGTTTTTAGGAGTGAAGAGTGAGCAAAGCTAGTTTCTGAGCTGTGAACTGTGGTCCGGATCACTCTTCATCCCTAAAAATATGGCATCCCTAGTTTTTGCAGGTTGGATTATTATAGTACTAATGCTAAAACATTTATCAATATATCGCACTTTGTTGTGTTGTTGTGAAACAGAATCAAACTTGTATACTATAGTACATTGTAACCATTAACCAGTAATATATTTTTAGAACATTGATGTTAACTTACTTTGATTTGGATTAATAATGGAATTTGGTAGGAAATGTACGATTTGGATTATACATTTATACGACATATGAAAACGTCATCGTCGCCTTCTTGTCGGGAAAACACAGCGGGAAATTTTAGGAATAGTGATTCTGTCACGTGATGCTAACGCCATGTCACATGTGTGGGAGTATAAGTTATTTTACTATAGATTCTCTATCGTTATATATTCTCAATTAAATTCTTGATTAAGCCTATATTGTTTCTAATCCTTTACTTATTTGTAAAGCAACTACTTTATTATATATCAGTCATTGAAGTGGTGTTGGAGACATTATTTTCATATGCCGCTGTCTTAATTAGTAGCCGGAACTTTACCCTAAAAACTTTCACAAAACTGCACATGAGTTTTATTTTATTTGATCACGCTGAAAAACTATTACATAACAAGTTTGGATACTAAACAAGTAGATTCTCAAACGGGGACGATGTTGGTAACAGAAACCATAACCATCTCGGCTTCAAAGACTATGGAATCCTTCACCAAATATCCAGCTTGTAAATCTTTACGCAAGATTATATTGTTTACTCCCACACCATAACCCGGTCGAATAGGGTACCAAGCTGCAGCTGCGACATCAAATTGCATTCCATTTAGTTAGTGACTAAGGTCGACACATAATAATGTTACATTTACATTGTCCTAAATATTAATTTGTGTTTTCTTTACTCTCACTTACAATATGCCTTTTTGTGGTTGGAGCCTAGCTGATGCCTCAATCGTAGATTAACCGCTCCCCAGGTGGTTGTCGCAGTCGCATTTGGCCTAAAGCCTTGAGCGTATAGGAAGATAGGGAGTGCATGAGGTCTTCCTTCTCCGGCTCCTTTTGGATTAAACCCTAATCTCCTAATTAATTATACATTAACGCAAACCAATTACTAATGACCATTTACACTTGTGGACATTAGGCTAGGTTGGTTAGAAAAAAATATGTATCATGAGATAAAGGACTAACCAGAATCGGTCTCCGACAAGAAATTCAGCAGAGTAATAGAACTTATCTTCCAAGGAGGAAAAACGAAGTATTCTCCAAGTGAAAACATTGTCCGGAGGGTTTGATACAAAACTGACTCTCTCTTGTTGTCCGATTGGTCTGATGATGAAGATCTCAGCACCAAAAGAAACTGTGTTTTGCACGATGAAACCTTGATTCGGGTTGTGGAATGTTGAAAGAGGAATCAACTGTCCAAATCCCCACTCTCTCTTTCCTTGGTTGTATCGTTTCACCGCTTCATCTGCAACCCACAATATATACATAAAACTTATATGATCAAAAGTTTATATCAAGAAAATACACAAAATGAGAATATATACCAGTGACAGTTAAGTACTTGCGCTGTCTGGCATTAAACACAAAGAGTTTGAGATCAACATCGACTTCCCAGCCCGTGGGAAGAGATTCTGTATCTTCGATCCTCACATAAAGGGATACATGATTGGTTCCTCCATCTTCTTTGTTACCAGTCACGTACAAAATCAACCTCCTAGTTGGTTCATACAGAAGATAACAACATGCATTACTAGAGTTTGTCTTTTTTTTTTTTTTTTTTTCTTTTTTTTTTTGAACACAATTACTAGAGTTTGTCACAAGATGCATTTCATCAAGAACAAACATAGTTTATAAAGTAAAAGAATAGTGAGCAAGAACTAACCATTTGTAGCCAGAAGCTTCAAAAACTGAGGATTCATAGGGTTCAAATCTCTCCCTAATCACAGAGAAATTTCCTATTGTTACGATCTTACTTGATGGTCGTTCGTTTCTCAACACTCTCGTTAGTCCTATCAACCAAAATTTTCACAAGCTTTTTAAAATAAGTTTCCAGTTTTAGAAAGAAAACAAAGGGAAAATGGTTTTAGACCGCATGCATACCCGAATTTGCATTGAGATTGTAAGAACTATTATACTCTGTGACCTGTTTTTTGTGTTGTCCGTTAAAAACTATGTTTAGTTGCATTAAAATAAGCAAAATAGATAATATAAAATAAATTGAAAAAGAGATTCAGACCTGTTGAATTAAGAACTCTGCAGAAGAGGAAGTGATAAAGAAAAAAGCGAAACATATCACTCTCAGACTCCATCTCCCATTCTCCATTCTCCCTTTATGCTTAAAATAAGTGTTTAGGAAAGATGAAGTTGTGTTTGGCTTCGTATTTGGTAAGCATTTTTTATAGATAGACCAAATGTGTCCCACTAGATGCTCGTTGTAACCACGTGCTTGAACAAAGCTGTCTCTAAGCCACACGGCTAGTTCGTGTAATTTAAATTTTTATCATACAATGCATGGTTCCACTACAGATACTTGTTGTACTTGATTAACCATTTTTAATGGTGATCTAGCAAGTCATTAGCCATTAGGCTAAACGCTCGGTCGAGTTCTTAATTACATGCTATTATTTGGCTTCAAACTTACAAAATATTAACGAGATAATGAAAACAAAACTAGCATCTCTAACGAACTTACTCATTACAATAATAACTAAATCGGTATACTCTTGTATGTTCTTTTTTCTTTTTATTACTAACGGAACGTCTCTACATTTTGAATCAACCCAGTTACTCAGGGGGAATACAACACTACGGTAGAAGGACGTAAACATATATGCAATAATTGCAATCTATATATAATCCTAATTAAGAAGCAAAATTTGCAAAGACCAAAGAGACAAGGAGAGACATAATAGCTGCGGCCACACTAGGGAGAGAAGCCGAGTGGCTAGGAGATGGACCGGGTACTCCAACTGCAGTAATCGTAAAAAATAAAAAATTATTTGACGATTAAAACAAAAAAATGCATATTCATACTATGTTCGTGTATGATGTAGCTATAGCTCAGGTACTCCAACTGCAGTAACCATTATGAAAAAGCTCACTTTTCTCTTAAATACTATATATACTATTTACCATCTTTCGTGTTGTTTAAAAAATACCTAAACGCACTCCAAATTTTATATATGTTTTCTAAACATACCTTTATGGTACATGGGCATAATTTCCAATTTGTCAGTGACTAATTTATTTAACATTCATATATCACTTAATATGTCGATTAACCTCAATAAAAATCATATTTTCTGGAGAAACATAAACATTTAAAATCTCAAACCTATTTAATATTCATACTATGTTCGTGTATGATGTAGCTATGCATTAAAACAAAAATTCAATTTTTTATAATTTTTCTTGAAATATGTGGGCTAACCACTATGAAAAAGCTGAATTTTCCGTTAAATACTATATATACTATTTTCCATCTTTTGTGTTGTTTAAAAAATACCTAAACACACTCCAAATTTTATATATGTTTGCTAAACATATCTTTATGGTACATGTGAATCATTTCAAATTTTCTAATAATTAGTTTATTTAATATTCATATATCACTTAATATGTCGATTAACCCCAATAAAAATCCTATTTTCTGGAGAAATAGAAACATTAAAGGTCTCAAACCTATTTAATATTGATACTATGTCGGTGTATGATGCGGCTATGGATTAAAAAAAATTCCATTTTTTTATATTTTTTTTTTTTGAAATATATGGGCTAACCACTGTGAAAAAGCTGAATTTTCCGTTAAATACTACATATACTATTTACCATCTTCGAGTTGTTTACAAAATACCTAAACACACTCCAAATTTTATATATGTTTTCTAAACATATCTTTATGGTGCATGGGAATCATTTCTAATTTTCCATTGACTAATTTATTTAACATTCATATATCATTTAATATGTCGATTAACGCCAATAAAAATCCTATTTTCTAGAGAAATAGAAACATATAAGGTCTCAAACCTATTTAATATTCATACTATGTCGGTGTATGATGCAGTTATGCATTAAAACAAAAAGTCCATTTTTTATATTTTTTCTTGAAATTTGTTGGCTAAACCCTATGAAAAAGCTGAATTTTCCATTAAATACTATATATACTATTTACCATCTTTCGTGTTGTTTAAAAAATACCTAAACGCACTCTAAATTTTATATATGTTTGCTAAACATATGTTTATGGTACATGGGCATCATTTCTAATTTTCCAATGACTAATTTATTTAACATTCATATATCACTTAATATGTCCATTAACCCCAATAAAAATCCTATTTTCTAGAGAAATATAAACATATAAGGTCTCAAACCTATTTAATATTCATACTATGTCGGTGTATGATACATCTATGCATTAAAACAAAAAGTCCATTTTTTAAGGTCTCATAAAAAATAAAAATCATATTTTCTGGAGAAACGGAAACATTTAAGGTCTCAAACCTATTTAATATTCATACTATGTTGGTGTATGATGCAGCTATGCATTAAAACAAAAATTCCATTTTTATAATTTTTGTTGAAAAATGTGGGCTGACCCCTATGAAAAAGCTGAATTTTCTGTTAAATACTATATATACTATTTACCATCTTT